GTTTTGCTAAGACTGTTCAAGCAGCTAGCTGCATCAGCATGCATAGGCTGCAAAGGAACAGGTAAAGGTTTATTCCATGCTGAAAGGAAAAGAGACACAACGTTTCAGCTGAAAAAGGCTCTGTCTCTGGACAATGGACATGGAATAAGCCTTGATCTCTTCCTTAGCTAAGACTGTCCTGACGTGTGTGGTTTGTAACCTGACAGGCTGGGAGCGACTCCCGGTTAGATTAAGACCAGAACTGGCTCAGACGGGCATCTTTCCTCAAGGAACAAACCCCGAGCAGATCAAAGGGAGTCTGATAACTGACATTCATTCGGCCAACGGTGAAATCTGGACCAGGTCAGGCCAGCGGGCCCTTCCAGAGGGGCGATTCTCAGTTCAGCTCGGGGTGGCTGGGCTGGGGCTTTCTGTTGCTCTGAGAGCTACTAACCTCAGCTGTAGTGACAAGCTCAAGCTGAAAGCAGGACCCAGTACAAGGCCACACTGGAAACACGAGCAAACACCTCCACTCTGCACCGACCGGAGGTGGAGCTATTTTACTATTTTTTGGTCGTGCAACAACCCTACGGTGCATTTTCTCACATGCCCAACTGCTTAACATATTTTAAAAAGGAAGCAGCCTTGCTTGAACTACAAACAAAACCGGCAGGGGTTCTGAAGTCAGCGGTGAACCGGAGCACAAAGGCTTCTGCCACCCCTACTCAGCAGCTCCTCCTCACAAAACTGTTCATCCAGCAGAACCCAAATACACTTGTCATCTCATCAATTATGCAAGGTTTAAGTTCTCTTTAATTAGACCCAGAGTTTATCCACTTTCACTGTAAAATATTTAAGGCGGCTGCTTGAGAAGTAAATTAGGGGTCTGATGTAATATTTAAACTCGGGAGAGGAGGGAGGGCTGTTCTAACATGGCGCCTGGTGATCAGAGGGCAGCAGGTTGTCAGTGGAATGATTCCAGGCCAACATCGTCCGAGCTGAGCTCCCACTAGAACAATGTAGTGCGATGGGGAAACGCTGCACTTGTGGCACCTTTCTGCAAACACTTAAACATTACTTTTTAAAAACCATGTACCGTTTGGGATACTAATACTTAAGGCTTGTGACAGACTTATCTGTAGAATAGCAAGAGAAGAGAAATGAGGTGGGCAGGAATGTGTTATTAGGACAGCAGAGCCTGTACCAGTATCACTCAAACCTCCACACGGCAGGTTAAAGGCCATTCGTGTAGGTGAAGAGCTCCTGTTAAATGTGTACCGACCCCCTTTTCCAAAATTTTCAAGGAAATAGGGAGCAGGACAGGTAATCACGCCAGCAGACTGGGCTTCTCGGGTATGACCATGAGCCCCTGTGCCCCTGCAGCTGGACAGTCCTATTCATGGACAGCACCTGGTCATTCGTTTAAGAAGACGTCATATTAAGACAAACCCCTTGCAGACTCCTGGGATCGGGTTGGGTACTCCTAATCGAACTGATGACAAGACCAGCTCCACCGGTAAAGGAGCTCACCCGAGTGTAGGCCGAGCTCTGTGGTCACGGGTTCGAGCCTGGACTACTGTGACTGGGGTCCTCCCAGGCGGTGGCGTACAATTGGCCGAGCCCTACCGAACGCAGGGTGGGATTAGTTGGCCTGTGTCCTCTCGACCACACAGAGACCCCTGGCCTCCAGGACTTGTGGTGCTGTTGGAGCGACACGCTTCTCCATCCCGACAGGACTGCAGTGAGATGTTAAAAATAATAATAATAATAATAATAATAATACTTACACTAATATAGCGCTTTTCTGGACACTCCACTCAAAGCGCTTTACAGGTAATGGGGACTCCCCTCCACCACCACCAATGTGCTGCATCCAAGTAAGAAGGATGCTGCACAAGGGCAAGGGCAAGTAAGAAGCATCTGCCTACACTTCCTCCTCCTCCTCCTCCTTCTCCTCCCCTGTGTTGCAGGTGCAGAGCTCGGACCACCAATCACTGACCACTCCTGGCACAGCACAGACATGTGGAACACTATCAGGATGGCCAGCAGGGTCTTCACCTCCTAGAGACACTGCTGTGCACTTCCTTCTGCGGCCTTACTGCTAATATTACCTCCGGCTCTCCAGGGAGCTGCATTATTAAAGTGTAAACAGCAAACTATTTAAAGTTAAAATCACCATTCTGATAGGATCTCTGGTGGCTGTGTTTTGAAAAGATGAGAAGCACCAAAGGGAGATGTGTGTGGATCTGTGTTCCCATCTCCATGTAACAATGTTGCTCTCCTGGGGCAGAAGCGGCACCCATCCTGCAGGCCCTGGGAGGCAGATGGCACCCAACCCCACCGACAGGAGCACAGCAACCACCCACCAACACGCTCACCTGCGCCTTTGCTTGTTTTTACACACGTGCCTCCTTTCTCACATTAAAACTGTTTTCCTGTCATTGCCTTGGGGAAATTAAAAATATATTACATACCCCTGGTGGTTTGTACAGAGACTTCCAGACATAAAGAGAACCGGGGAGGAGGAGGAGGGAGGGGGGCAGAATGCGACCGAAAAAGAAGAGTATCGGGATGAGAGGGAGGGTCAACAGCTTCCTCATTAAGAGTTTTTGTAAACAGCCTAAATGAGAGCAATTTAATACCATCGAAACTGGAAATATAGAATCACACCAAAGGAGAAGGGATGGGTGTTTTCATGTGTTTGAATTGTCTCCGTGATTCAAAGTTTCTCCTTTTAAGAATTCAAAAGAAAGGCAAAAAAACATCTCCCCCAGACAGCACTCTTCTCCCCGCGCCAGCAGGAGTGTGTCCTGGGTTCAAGGCCCGGTGGACTGTCCCCGCAGGGCCTTGTGTGTCCGACGTCCGAACGACACCGCAGCCCCTGTTCCAGCCTGCCCAGTCGCGTGGGCCGCAGAACTGACCTGCTCTCTCTGACCACGCCTGGGACCTGCCTGTGCTCCAGCATCTGATCAGAGTCACAGTGAGACGCAACAAGGTGGCGCCCATAGGAAAGAGGGAAGGCCTTGAGCACACGCTGAGCACACGTCCAATATCCTGGATCCCTATTCCTCCTGGGCCAGGCCCACAAGTACAGAGGACTCAAAAAAAGCGAGTCACGGGGAAAGTGTTGTTTAGGGGCAAGGTGGTCAGGAATGCAGGGAAAACAACACCTTTGCTCAGTTTCGAGAAGGTCATAATGAGATTAGGCCCCATGATGCATTCTGAGTAACATCCAACAGGTTGGCCCTCTATCTGGGGCAGGCTCGGGGGCAGGGTGAGCCCCTGAGCCCCCCAGCACCGGCACAGGCCTTTATAGAAGTGCTCCATCACAGCCCAGGACCAACACAAACAGGAAGACCATAAAGAGCAAAGAGCAAGGGCTGGCAGGCTGGGCCCTGCGGATTAGTTTCACTTGCTCAATATAGCTGCTGCAGGAAACTGTCTGCCAACGTTCAACTTCACAGTGTAGACTGGCACTTACTAAAAAACACCTCATCTTCAAGACTCCTAGCACAATCAGACCTTCCTTCATAAATTTAGAATCCCCAATTATTTTTGTTAACGCCCACCTGATTCTGGATTAGACAACTGTGCGTGTGAGAGTGAGCCTCACTCTCAGGGAGTGGGGGGGGGGTACTTCCAAACTTCGCTTCAACCTGAGTTTCGCCATCCCCTCAGGGCTTTGAAAACACACGGCATCGAATACAAGAAATGTTTAAAAAAAACACTTTATCGTGTGTTTTGAACGCCAAGATTTCATTCGGGTTTTCATTGCAACATAATTACTGGATTGATATAATCAAGCTCATTATTACCTCAATTAAAGTCCGGATTTTCCTCAAATATTTCGCATTTGATGATTTCAAAGATGCCCTTGGTCCAGGATATAATATCTGTAAAACTTTATGAGGCTTGAATTGAAGTGCTAATCACACCCGCTGAGAAAACACAGTGCTCAGCTGGCACGAAAAAACCAGGAGGCTTTGTGAGCCCCTGCTTCACCACTTGAGGTTCCTCCATTCCCTAAAACCTGCTCAAAGAAGACCGCCTAGTATTCCCTGAATTTGCTCACAGTGAAATCCTAGAAGCCGTCCCAGGGAGCAAGAAAGGAGAGTGCAACTGGCCCACAGACCTGTGGCACAAACAAGCCGCCTGTGAGCGCAGGCCCTGGGCTGCTTCTTGCCTACACTGCACACACACAGCATTTTCCAACCCCCCAGGACCTTCTCGCAATCTCCCTACGTCAGTAAAGAGCCTCTGCAGCACAGGCACCTCACGGGGGGTGGGGGCGGGGGGGGGCTGCACCGGCGCACACAGCCTCAGCGCCACCCCCTGGGGAGATCCTGTTTCCGACTGCTTAGAAGAAGCCAAAAGGCAGTGTGAGCCACCAGAGTGCTCGCTAATAAATACGGCCAGTGTTCTCTCCAAGAAAACATCACCATTGAGGTCCCTGCACGCCACAGGGGGCGAGGCAGGGGTGGGGGGGTGGGGGAGATTTAGACTTATATTGTGCTGCCTTCCTCTGCCACAGCCCCGGCTGTGATCGTGGGGAAACTCCCCCAGGGCAGCAGGATGTGGCTGGAGACTGGCAGACAGCCTCTGCCACTGGTGCCACATGCTCTGCCCCCCGCCTGAAAGGGCCCAGTGTCTCTCTCTCTCTGGAGACAGGCTGGCAGGGTGCGAGGTCCCAGGGGAAGAGACTTGGCAGAGCTCTGTGTACAGAAAAAGGTCAGGACAGAAGTACTACCGCCGCAGGCCTCGAACAGAGATTTTAAGCAGACAGAGCCGTTCGCTCCACGACGCCACCTTAGAGTTTTTTTGGAGCACAAAAGAATATCAGGCTCTCCTTTTCTTTCCACAAGCAGCGCATTTTACTGGCCATATGGAACAGATATTAAAGATTTTTGCTTCAGTGGGTAGTCTTGGAGCCATTGCAGGAATGTGACATATAGAATGTAACCCCTGCTCACTATCTGACAGCTTCCTGGCAACCGCTGGACTTGCAATCACAGAGCAGATACCTGTTTGGACAGCGGAGGACTCCCAGCTCCCTGTGAACTCCGAAGACTCTCCTTCTTCCACTGCAAGACAAAGACAGAGACGGGGGGCTTCAGAGTGCGACCTCTTATTAGAAAGACATGCACACTACGGGCAAGAGGGGGCTAAATGCATTTTTCAGGAAGGGCAGTTGGACAGGGTGGGCCAATATGTAGTCACATGATGCAATGGTCAACAAAAAAACAAGAGCACACATTTTTAGAATTTGTCTCCTTCTTTCTTAAACCGTCTCCTCTGGAGAAGCTCTAGCCGAGACCCATGACTGCACACGCGCTGGGGCCAACTGAAGAGAAAAAGACAGCACCACGTCCTCCAGGACTTCCTGCAGGTCTACTGCCTCCCCCCCGCCACTCTTCTGTGCAGCCAGGCTGCAACCCCAGTTAATCATCGACTGCAGAGCTGAGAGCACAGGCAGGGAGCTTGTGTCTTCTCCCTGCCTCAGGAACACAGCCCCCTCCCGCCACATTCCAGCAGCAGGTAAAGACAGGAAGGCCCGGACGAGCGGCGCACTTCCTGGGCATTGAGTCTGCTCACAGGAAGCGCCGCTGGTACACAGAATCCAAAACAGGAAGTCCCGGTCCTCGGAACACAATGAAGACGTCCCACCAGCACGAGTCGAGGGCTGGCCGTTTTGACCTCAGCTGAGCAAACGGCTGTGCTGGTGTGACTAATAAACACAGACACCCTTCCCCCCCTGCCTCCTACCAAGGCTCTTCTCATTGTGTTTCCATCCCAGAGGTACCGGGCAGAGCTGGCAGCACATACTGGGTCAGAGGGGACCGCAGAGCAACCCCCACTGGAAACGCAGGAGGAAAGGGTTTGCACATACCGACAATCGGAAAGCCCACAGGAGACCAAAAGAGGGACAGTTTGCTGATAACCCCCCAACCCCCCCCAAAAAAAACAACTGAAGACAAATCAGTTTGCTGTCTGCGGTTTCGCTCAGATACGCGAGCAAGGGCAGCCCTGATTCTTTCCTCAAACCGCCCCTCACGTCCCAGGTCTCGCTCACTAACGGGCGCCTACCAATCACAATCACCCCCCAAAACACGCAAGCGCACCCCGAGGCAGGAGCCCGCCGCTCCACAAGTAAGGAAGACGGCCAGACAGGCCGGCCCCCCATCACCAGACCTCCACACTGACTGGCGCGCAAAGCCGGCACCTCAGAGCCCTCTCCGCAACGGGGCAAATGTCTCCTTTAATGGATGCGTTCACTGCCTGGCCCCTCATATTCTACACACCGCCAAGAGAAACAGCTTCGATTCCCGTATATATACGGATATCTTATATTCACACGTGCCTTTTCAGGGCAGAACTTCCAGCGCCAAACAGGAACTCCAGCACTGCTGCCAGCAGCCCCTCCAACTCACTGGAGACCAGCCTGTTAGAAAACGGGGCAACACTGTACCCCGCCGCCCGCGCAAGGATGTCACAAAGTGCAGGGGCGCGCCACAAGGGCCCGTCTTCTGGCAGGCGCCCCCATTCTCCCAGGATGTTTCCATGAACCGAGGCAGGGCTGTCACTTTAACACCAGACGCAAAGTCCACCAGCGGCACAGCGTTTCACCTTGTTAAAATAGTTTTATAGAGTTGCACACAAAAAGGCATGTTCCTGAAATTGACCACTTTTAAAAAAAACCCAATCAGCCCTGGGTTTCCCTCCTGCTCCGGCTCCGAGCCCTCTCATTCCTCGTCTCTCTTGGGTTTCAATCTCACGGCTAAGACACCCGACTGCTCCGGGCCCTCCAGCTCGGCGTTAAAAGCCAGTCCTGGGGTTCCCAGGATACACAAACACGAGCACGCTTTCTCAGCAGCTAGATCCTGGAAGGAGACTTTGCACATCGCCCAGACAACTCATCGGGTACGCAAACGCTTCCACCTCACGAGCTCCTGCGTTCGATACTCCTCTCGTCATCACTGGTACTCAGCTTCCTTTAATGTACTGGATCTAGAACACCTGTAAAAGCACAACCACTGGGATCTCATTCCAGAAGTGGCCGGCGTGTTTTGCTGGGAGCGAAAAACGAAAACCACCACTTTATCACTCAAACTCCAGTTAAAGAAAGAAATCTCACAAGCCTGTGCAAATCCTACTAGCTTCATCGTCATCAAGACACCAGCATTCTTCTCAATGGAGAAAACGGCCATAAATTACTCCTAATCATGGCTCAGCTCATCCTCTATTTAACGCCCCATTAGGAAACTAATATTGGAGTTTAGTCAGGCAGCAAGATTTGCCTTGACCAGATTGAAGGTGGCAGTTTTCAGAGACGTGGAAAAGGAGAAGGGGGAGGAGGGATCTAGCTCAGTCTGCCAAGAGCCCTCAGTCGCACAGTATCCACACTGGAGCAGCTTGGTTCGGGGGTGCAGGGAGGAGCAGAGTGTTTTTACACCAGAGAATAATCAAATCCTTTCCCTCCACTTCGGAAATGGACGGATCAGGTCCTCTCACACTAAACCATTTCCATGTGTTACAGACCGTGGCCCTACAAAAGCAAGCCACAGACTTCTGTAATGCATTTTAAGTTCAAGAAACGCAGCCCTACGATGGACACACACTGGAGCATCCGAGGAAGACGCCAAGATACGGACTCTCTCATAATCTACACTGAAAATGCTCTGAACTCCCTACCGATTTCTAGAGATCGTTCAGATATAGAACTGCACACTCGGGGTCCACAGCATAGCCCAGCATGTACTTGATACACGGAGGTTTAGGATGCTGTGCAGTGGAGCGTTGTTGTTGTTGTGCGGATCTGGAGGATGTGGTGATAGCACTCCAGTGATGGCCGAGCCCCACAGATGTGGACCACAGATCTCGTTGCAGCTGTTCCCGATAGTGGAAGTTCCTGAGTGGAACCAACCCTTCTCAAAACAATGAGGGAAAAAAAAAACTTGTGCTTGGGGTGGGTGGGGAATTCAGACCTCACACACTGAAGGCTCCAGCCAAACAAAGCAAGTACAAAAAGGGGAAAACAGTCTCATTAGCAGAAAAACATTTTTAAAGCGTTTTTCATTATTTTTCTTTGGGGAATTTCTTGCCTTCATTAGCAATTTTTTTTTTCTTCTCAAGCTCATATTGACGTTCAGCGAGCGATAAGATTCCAAACAATGGCTTCCCCACACTGCAGGGCGGCGTGCGAGACGCAGAGAGACACAGGCTTCCTGCCTCAGCCAAGTGTCAGCGCCCTGGGGAGCAGTCGGGGCGGGCCGGCCGGCCGGACTCCAGCACCGGATTCCAGAGAGATGCGCTACAGCCCGGTTCTCAGGCTCCTCCAGCAAACCGGATTCTGCTCCTTAATTATCTTTGACCGGACCCGATAAAAATGTAACACGGTTTTCAAAAAGAATGGTCGGCGAAGAAGGGGGTCGCAGCGCTTGCAAGTAAACAAAAACCAGGATTAGGAGTCTGCACACCTGCCTGAAACCTTAACGGGTTTTGCACCTGCATTAAGTGGCTTAAACTACCAGAACGGAACTAGTCACTGTGCAGTGAGCTTCAATGAAATTCAGCCACCGCGATATTCATCTGTGAAATTTACACAGAAAAAAAAAATCCGCTTTCCGGAAGAGAAGCCTTGAAAAATCTATTTTTCCCCCCACCACGAGCAAGAAAACTCATGGAAATAAGGAGTTCACGCGTGGCGTGCGCCCTCGTCTGCGCTTGATCGTGTGTTGGTGCGCGCGCGCGCTCGCGAGCCTCCGTGGGGGCGAGAGCGTGCGTGGGCGCGGGAGTGGGAGAGCGGGTTTGCGAGCCCGGGTGAACAGCACCGCAGGCGGAATAATTACGGGTCTCCAGTGCCAGCAAGCCGCGTCTTTCAAAGGAGCAGCGAGCCGGAGTGACTAACTCCGCTCCTCGCAGCCTCTCACTGTTGTTTTGCAATTATTCTGAACTGCAGTTGGCGAGCGAGCCCTGAATATAAACTTGACCCCTGTGCCTCTGCCGCCCAGCTCCAGCCCACAGTGGAAACTGGTGCAGATGACTAAGACTGCGAATGAGACACAGGGAGAGGAGGGAGAGGGGGGAGGGCATGACTGTCCTCAGTCGCTCCCAAGCACAAGGGCTTGGCTGGGCCTCAGGGCACCTCGGCGACGCTCACTCCCAGACAGGGGTCACCCTCACGCGCCCCAGCTGAAGCTCGCGGGCTGCAGCTCTGGAGGAGGGAGAGAGCCGTCACTGCCCAGCGCACTACACAACTCCACTGTCCGGTTCTTACAGATACGAACTATGGAAAAGCATTGTCTTCCCCTGCTCTAACGGGTTGTGACAGCTCCCAGATTACCCTTCTGACAATAATTAAAAAGTGGACAAAGCAGAGAGCTCAGAAAAAAGAAAAGGTTAAAGATGTCCTACACCGCCTTGACACCTGCATTCAGCGACACTTCGCTTCAGCGTTTCAGTCTCTCTGGTGTAGGGCTGTTTTCTCCCTGTCCTGCCACACTGCATCCTCCTTACTCCCTGAGTGTCCCATAGCGTGCCACACACAGAGCATCTCCTGGTAGAACACAAAACCGAGAGCTCTATTTTCAGCACTTGGTTTCTCACACCCTCCTACAACATTCACGGTAATTTAAACGAGATCTAGGCCCTTCCAGTGGAAACCATTTAGCTGTAATACAAGAGTAGACCCTTTCTCTAAACTCTTATTTAAAAAATGCATCCCCGTGGGTACACACAGATCCTTGACACAATTTATTTTTATATTATTGAAATTCTCAAAATGTTAATTACCGCTCTCACGGCAAAAAAAAAAAAACGTAATGTTATTTGCATTTCTCGAGCCTTTTAAGCGGCGTTAAGCTGCAACATTATTGCGAGTGTCGCTGAAGGCAAACCAGCGAGTGCAATGGCACTGTGAACAGAGCACGGGTGCAGATCAAACAAGTTCCACACCGCCTGCGTGTCGCGCCGGCGACAACGAGACAATTTGCCCACAAAAGCCCAAACCTTTGGGGGATAGCAGAACACACATTTTTTAATTGTGAATTTATTAAAGGCTGCCGGCTTTTACAGGAAACCGACA